CCTGCTGGATGACATGCTTGGCTGAAGGAACGTAGAATTTAAACAAGATGGATGTACTAAAGCTGCACATGCAGAGTTACAGTACTACAGCATCATTTATTTTCTTCTTATTTTTATGTAAATCTTTTCAGAAGGGTGAACAGTGTCTCAGCTCCACTAGCTGGTTTAGTGCCTCTGCCTTCTATTATCTGCTCATTCTCATGCTATTGTGTTCTTGTCTGAGTTCTCTCTCTGACTACCTCCTCCTTCACATGATTTTTATTTTTTTTTTTTTAAATCTTCTTTGCTGTAGCAGCTTAGAGCTGGTTGCCAAGTGCTGCGAATTATCCTCCGTGCTGTATGAGCAGTGTGATTCCCCTCTCCGTCTTCCTGGCGAGGATTCCTGGCTCGCTGATGAAAGGTCCTGTCATTGGCACAGGTCTGGGCACGGCTGGAGCGCAGAGGGATCGCTCGGGCTGCCCCGCGGGTGTTCCCACTGCCCTTCCCAAGGTCGGGTCCATCTCCGCATCGCCCTCCCCCATAGAATCATAGAACGGTTTGGGTTGGAAGGGACCTTAAAGATCATCTAGTTCCAACCCCCCTGCCATGGGCAGGGACACCCTCCACTACACCAGGTTGCCCAAAGCCCCATCCAGCCTGGCCTTGAACACTTCCAGGGATGGGGCAGCCACAACTTCCATCTGGGATCTGACACAAGTCTGTGTGTGCGGAGTGGGAAACGGCAAGTTCCTGGGCACAGGCTTTGTAGCTGTTACGGGATTTAGTTTTTGCTACAGAAGCAAACACGGACTCTTATTTTAATTAACTTTTACTCATGCAGGCTTCCTGTACCCGCTTCAACCGCGGGACTGTCTCTGGAACCACGTGCTTCGTTTAACCTGCGAGGGAGCTCTGACCTGCTGTCGGGTGTGCTCGCTGCTCACGTTCAAATGATGCTTCTGAGTATATTTAGGCTCTCAGATCTGGTGCAGCTCTTTGATTACTGGGGCAATTTCTGCTAAATATTTCTAGTTATTAGGCGAGGAAACCATCCCATGGCTCTAGGACATCTCTGTGGACACTTCCAGGCTGGAGCTTTATCTTTACTAACTTGGCAGTTGTGGTTTTTGTTTGTGAGTGGTTTTTTTGGCTTAACACTAGGAATCGGCTTGTGATTTGTGTGTTACAGGTTCTGAAGCACAAAGGTTATGCATAATGGATTAATTTTTTTTTAAAAAAACAAAACCAACAGTGATTTCAACTACAGGCTTGTAAGACCATGAGCGTTTGAGCAGTGCATGCTTTAGCTGTGCACATTTCCAACGTTGTAGTTTGCCTGTAAGGTAAATGCTCTGGGGCTCATTTATGTGATGGTATATGAGAGTGAAACAGCTTGCATTGTTCTTGCCCATGTTTTGGGGAATCTGTGCATGGAGCTCAAAGGCAACCAAGACTGTCTGTGGGGGCAGATGTTCCTCACCTCTTCTCTTTATAAATCCCAGCTGCTGAGCACCTGAACATCTGCTCTGTTCTTGTCCCAGCCTGCCCCAGCCCTGCCAGCGCTGGACAACCAGCCCAGTGACACCGGCTTCGCTGCCCGCCCGGGAAGGAGGAAGAGCATCACTGGTGGCTTTGTACCAGGTCCTGGGGACCAGCACAGCTCGAAGTGGAGCAGGCCCTGGCACAATGGAGAGCGTTTGAAAAACTCCGAGGCGCAGCTTTCAAGTAAGACAACCCAATTGGTAGCAATAGCAAAAGCGGGCCCGCATCATTTTGCATGGTGTGTGCCAAAGAGTTACAGGATACAGACATTAATATACTGAGCTACTAGGGTGATAAATTAAATTCTAAGGGTGTAGCCCAAAGAAACAAACCAATTATGTAGGACAACTTGGCCTTCCCGGGAGGTCAACTCCAGAGTTAAGGAGCTGCCACTGGTACCCAGCCCTGGGTGTCACTCTGTGTCACGGACGTGGTCAGAGCCTGAGCTCCCCTCAGAGCTGTCAGACGCTGACACGCCGGCCGTGTGCCTGTGCCTTATGCTGGGGAATGCAGGCTGCAGCCTTTCTCAGCTAAGAAACACCAATGTCAGTTCCTGAAGAGCAGTTTTTACCTTTCCAGTTTAACTAACTGCTAGAAATTTGAAGCAGTTTCATGTTATTTGAAGTTTCTGAATTAAGCTCTATCGGATAGCAAATCTTACATTAACAGGAAACTTGCAGTTACTGTCTCAATTACATGTGGAGCAATGTAAAGTGATTTAATTGGTATTTTGTACTTGATTGTGGTAGACGAGTTCTGGCCTTTATTTTGCTGTCATGCCATCACATAGTCTAAGATACCACTTTGGTTTATTTAATTACTCAGTTCTTGGCAGGACTGTAATCTTTCAGAATCCCACACTAGATACAAATCATGCTTAAGGAGGTCAGCCTTTAGCCTTTTGAGTGTCAAGTTGTGAAATGATGATTCATCAGCTCCTGTGCTGAAGCTGGTATTTTACTAGGTGCCACACACGTTTGTCATTTCACAGCTGGCCTCTGGCTTCCGAAGGCAAAGCAGAGCTGCATCCCTAGGCAAACAGGGTGTTAGCTCACAAAACTGCTGTGTCAGCTGATTCAGACCTGCGACGCTGTTAGCGAGTGTTGCCAGAGCCCACACCAGCCAAATGGTACACACTTGATCATCAAAATTCCGTGTTCCAATCCCGCTTCTCCTAAGCGTTGTTGAGCAACAAGAATGGAGTAACATAGCTCACCCCTGTTATCAGTTACTATGACTCTTTGGCCAGCACAGTCAATTATTTTGATTTGATTTGATTCAGTGGTGTTTAGTAAACATCTTTGAAAAACTGCAACTCTTGTTTATTGGGAATTTGTAGATAAAGAGGTAAGAGCTTAATCTTTACGAGTCCTTTTTCATTCCAGCTTACTTTGCTATGAACATTCATTTGGTGTTAAGACAGAACAATCTGCAAGCACAGGAGGATGCACCACCATCCTTGCACAACAGGGAGCCCCTCTCCAGAATGATATGCCAGCACGAAGTTATTCTGGATACAGGTAATCTGGGAAACAGCGAGCACGCGGTGAACAACAGATAACTGGTACTGTGTATCTGTGACCCAAAACAGGCGCCTTCCTAATAAAATGTGGCCAGCACATACTGCCCAAGGGCAAGCACAGCACACTGCTGAAACGTGTCACTGGATAAAAGGGACCTTGCAGGCATAGTGGAGAAGTAGCTACCTTACAGCTGGGGGTTGGCAAGAGGGTGAGGGAAAAATGTGAAAACAGTCATCAAGTCTGAAAAACGCTCATAAAAAGCTATTGTCTCGTGAGTTTTTTTTTTTTTTAGCAGAGACAACAGCTTATAGTTAAATAACCACCCCTATTTATCGCTTTTAAAAACCAAAGCAAAGCAAAGGGGCCAGAGTAAGGCCTAAGGCCGAGGCCAGGAACAGAACACAGAGAAGTTCTGGTTAAATACAAGCAAAACTTTCAAAGGGGAGTTCAGAGAGACAGTGAAACCCCCGTCCTTGGAGAGAGACACTCAAAACTCGCCGGGACACGGCGATCACGATGACTGTAGTTGGTGCTGCTCTCTGCAGCGTGCCGGACAAGATGACCTCAGAGGTCCCTTCCAAACTACATTGTTCTGATTCTGCAAGTCTTTCCGTGCTTCTCTAAAGGTAAGGCAGTAGCTGACTTAAGCTTAAAGATACTTAGAAAAACACCCAGCCCCTTCCCTGGGAAAACATATCATCTCACCGACCGAATGGAAACTGCCTTTATTTAGCTCCAAGGGAAACACATGTATACATCCAACAAGGTAACCTGAGATTTAAATATAATTTATTTATCCTCTTCATATGAAGTTGTGTTTAGAAGTTTTGTTTTACAGTTAGAGCTAATTGCATTTGGTAAACTAGAAAGAGTTATTTTTAAGGTGTCAAATACTTGAACTGCAGAAAATGAGCCACTGTTTTACATTCTTCAGTATCATTTGCTGTCAGGGAAGTGATCAGAATGTCCTGTCCAGTGGATGAGAACAGATATAGGCTCTCTTTTCCAGTACCTGCTTCGCAGCTTTTTTAATATAGTCATCCAGGTTTTCATCTGCATCTGTGGAAAAACGGATAGCTTTTCTAAATATCTTTCAAAAAGGACTTTAGAATAAAAATGCAAGTATCTACACTTCAGTACGAGCATATAATTTAACATTATCTTCTAAAAAAGATTGATTATTGCAGACTGAGTTTCACAGACCGAACGCCTAATTGGTCACTACTTAACAAGAAGTGGTGTTATTTGACCTATTTCGTTGTCTAACTGTCTTTACAGGAGTGTTGACTACTGGCACATTTTATGTGTGTCCCCCACAGGTGGGGTGGGGGAAAGCATCACTGCAGTTTGGTTTATGTATTAAATGAAGAGACTTTTTATATTCAACTGGTACCAGTTCTGTTCCTCGTCCTAATTAAAGTCAGAACAAAACCATTCTGTTGGTTACATCAAAAATGTCTGCTTTTGTTTGGAGACTATGAAAGTCATAAGAGTATAAACATTCTTTTATTTGATAGAACTTACATTTTTGCAATTGAGCCATGGCATAATTATTCTTGAAATATGCTTCTGTGCAGAAAATATTTGTAAGAAGCACCTGAGAAAGCAGTTAAAATTCAGTTAAAAACTAGTAAATGAATTTCACAAACAAAACAATGTGGTAAAAATACAGCCATTTAAACTTCTGAAAGTCTAGTTTTGTCTCGTGAGAATGGAGCCCTGCAAGCTAGAAACGGATGCTGCAAACTTAGTTTGTTACTTTTTCCCCACAGCTACTGGATGTCAGAGCTGGGATGACCCCCTCACTCAAGACTGACCAGAAGACGTTTTTGGTAATAAATCCAGAAGGGGTGTGCACACACCGAATACGTAAAAAGTCTCAAGGCCAGTGAAGCCAAAGGTTAATCAGCTTGGATTTGTCTAAGGCTTCATTGTAACAAATTTACTTGTCCTGTAGTGTAACTGTTACCACGAAACTTTAAATGAGCTGCTATACAACCACCTGCATGTCAAACTCTCACTTTACTGTCAATAAATTTATTGACAAAGTATCATAGTTATTACGTTACTATTACCTAACAGGTAACAGGTAACTATTTCCTATCACGTAACTACTACCTACAAGGAGTTTGGAAGGACTGCATGGTATTGGCATGCCAATTTGCCATTCATTCACAAACGTGTATGTGTGTGTTCAAATACTTCACACACTTGGATAGTGTGCAGCTCCTGTGTTCAGAGCCTTGAGAGGCAATCCATGTGGTTGGTGCAAGAGGGCAGTAACCAGTTTAGAAACCTTCTGGTGCACTGTCAGTTTTCTACTGGAGAGCCTGCTGTGGTAAGATACAAATTCTTAGCAAACGTGAGGCAGAAGGGTAACAAATACTGCCCGTTAAGCGACGTGATGGGTAGGACACACTGAAGCACACTTACTTCATGGTCGTGGTTCCTCAGGCCGATACTGATGGACCGGCTGGCTCTGGAAATAGCTGCTGTCATTGCATATATATTAATAACTATATCTGCCACTCTCTTCAGAACCAACTGCTCATCCACTATTGTCTAGAAGAGTAAAAATGATTATTGGCTTGTAGGTTGTCAATTTAAAACTGTAACCAAACATTTTTCGCGTGTGTATTTAGGTTCACACTTAGCATAGTGAGGCAAGTTGTTACACAGAACTTCTATCCCAAGTCAGAAAGTTTTGGATTAACTACGCTCTGCATTTTAACAGTCTGAAGCAACTCTTCCACCTTTTAACAGCCAACAGTAAAATTGCTGTGTCTGGAAACCACTTCAGTAAACGCCAAAATCACTGAAATTAAAGTACCAAATATTTGAAGCCTGGTGAAAAGATGTATTAGTTAAGGTGGGATGTAGCAGGGTCTAGTCTGATAAGCAGCTTCAGACACATCAGATTAACTGTCACAACACTGAAAATCCAGGGCATTCTAAGTGCAGTTGCTCCTGTTTTAACTACACCACTTTGCGTGGCGTAGGTTCAGCTCCACTTGCTGCACAGTATGAAAGAACAGCATAAATTCAAACTGCTGGTGCAGCTCTTCATTTGGGAACAGGAAAATGGGTTCCAGTGGCTGCCCACAGCAAAATCCCTAATAGTCACCGAGCAGGTGGGACTTGTGCTGACACAGGTAGAGGAAAACAACTCATTCACCAAGATTGATTTAAAAAAAATTTTTTTAAAAAGTTGTCCACTGCATTAAGTATAGAATTTCAGTGTATCTTCTTGCATTTGGTTGTCGATAAACTATTCAGTAACGAAGACAACAGAAAAAGCAATAGTTACCTTGCCAAACCTACTTAGCAGGCCTTTCACTGTAGTTCCAAAATAATAAATGTTTTCTTCAAGTTTCTGGCCACTTTCCTGTAAAATAAAACAGAAAATACGACAATTTGAGTAGTCATCTAAGGGAAAACCCAAGCATCCTCCACACCTTAAAAGAGGATGCCAGCTAAACAACACTTATCTTCTAGGGAAGCACTGATGGGAAGCAGGAGCTGCTCAGCCCATACCCCAACCTCTCGGGTGACACCACCTCCTGCATGAGAAAGCAGCTGCTCTGCCCGCACAGTCCTGGGCCTCTGTGGTCTGGCTGCAGGTGGCCACCATTTCTGGTGGGTTTAGTAGCCAAGACACAAATTAGCATGCTCAACTAGAGCATAAAATTTGTTTTCTTTTTTTTTTTAATTAGCCAAGACTGAAGTTTAGCACAACACTGGTCTGGAATCAATTTTGAGTGATTGTAATGAAGGAATGATGTACATGCACTAAGCTGAACAACCACCAGGCAAGTTATTGAGGAAAATAATGATGTAAGCCCATGACACGTGCCCCACCACAACAATGAACTTTCCCCTCTCTAAAAAACCAGGCAGTTTAATTTTCTGCTAAATACCCTTTTAAGATGATCTTTCACCATTTTACACCTTTTTCTTCCCAGCTAAAAAAGAGAGAACGTTTGCCTAGTTACCTAAAAGGAATTATATATAAAAGAATTCTAAAATGATCTTTTCTGAGGAAATAAAAAACCTACCACTGTTTAGATGCAGCTCTGGTATCCTAAAGCCCAACTAATAGTCGATTTTCTCTTGGCAAGCACTGTTCTTTTAACATTGATCCAGTTTGCTGCTGAAGGCCAGACAGGCACTACTCTTTCTCAATAAAATACGCATTAAAATTGTCTAAATTTTACTTTTGGTAACTTTTCAGTATAGGCTTTATGCATAGGCAAGCAATAGTTTGAAAAATTCTTATGCAATGTTTAGTTCTGCACAGCAAACCTCATTCTTATTCTAAGTGCTGCAGGTTATGAGAACCCTGAAGAATGGCGGTTATCCGGTACCGCTGTGTAACTCACCAACAGTCTCAAATTCTCGTATTAAGTAGGAAGAACGTTTCCAGTGTCATTATTTGGCTTTAATTAATTCCTAAACGCAACTAATTCATGATGCTGCTTCTTGTAACATGACTGCACGTTTGAAGCTATTTAGAGGAAATATCTGGCGTGTCAGCTGGGTGAGAACTGCTGCAGTTAAACACTCCACGCGCCCGCTCTGGTGGCACTGCAGAACACAGCGTATTGACCCGAGCGAGGTGCCCTCTTGCTGGGCTTCCATTTGTGAACAGAACAGTTCCCAATCCCAGCAAATCCTCGTACCTGTGTGCCTGAAATGGCTGACCTGGAGGACAGGTACATTGACAGAACAATAACAGTCATTTGGCTACAGTTTTTCAAATCGCTTACAGAACATCATAGGAAAAACAGACCGTATGTTTTTCCTATTCACAGAACATTAATTTTTGGTCATAAAAATTATTTACTAAGTGATTAAGTAAGTGTGTATCTATAGTTCATAGAAATTCTCACTTAAAACTGTGTTGCTATTAAACAGGAAAAAATACTGTGTTTTGTCACAGAGCTTATTGTGAAGGGCAGCAACAGCCCATTACAGAGACTTTAATGCTGGGAAGGCTCAATTTATATAAATCACTGAAATGTATATAAACCTGGATTTGGTATAAATACAGGCTTAGAGCAGTCTTCGTTTTACCGTGATGTGTACCCATAATATAGCTCTAAGTAAGTCCCTGTCCCTGAAACGGTATAAACATCTGCTTGAATTTGGAAATCTCACTGCTCCTAAGCATTTGCGCTGTTTGGCATAAACAGGATATAAAGTTGTGACAAGCAGAGAAGGCAATCAAACATGAAAGCAAGCCCGGGGTCTGGATGTGATGGAGAGCCGTGTCCTCCCCTGCCCTTACCTGGAGGCTGGGATGCACCACGCCGCGATCGCCAACCAGCCCATAATCCACTTTTCTGCCCATCGTGTCCCGCAGTTTGTTTAGAAACTCCCCCAGCGCCACTCCCATGTTGCCTTTCTTGATTTCCCTAGAAGGTGGGGTTAAAACAGCTGTTAAAGGCCAGTTCCTGGTTTGCAAGGGAAGGGCCAGGAGGTTCAGACAACCAGCTGAAATTCTAAATGCTTTGCCAAAACACCTGCAGTTTGCTTGTGAATCTTTTGAGCCATTTTACTATGAAGTGTGGAGAACAATGATATGGCCTTAGAAGTACACAACATGGCTCCCCGTCAGTTCCTCTCCAAAATACTCACAACAAATTCCAGAGATGAGTAGATGTACTCAATATGCACAATACAGCTGTCTTACCAAAAAAACCTGGTCATAAAATCTTTAAGTTATAAAATTTTAATTACTGGTCTTGTAAGAAAGAATTTTACACAAGTTGGAATTATAAGAAAATATAATAAGGCCAAGATTCCTAAATCTATAAAACATCCAATTAAAAAGACCAAAAAAAGACACGCCTATAACACTGAACTGCCTTTTAGACAGATAATACATTGAAAAATACTGTGGGTTTTTTTCCTACAGTTCTCCTTCTGATCTACAGTTAAACAGTTCTCAGGTTCTGTTTAGTTTACTAAAAACTATTAGCAATAAATAAGAACATACTTAATTTTGTCAGTTAAGATCCTGCCTGCATGCTGCATCCCCGTCAAGGCAATATAGAGTCGCAGTATTTCATTTGTTCCCTGTAAAACACCCACAACACAAAGTGAAGTCAGCATCAAGTACAAAGTATTTTTAGCATTTCAAAAATCCAGATATGCTGTGCTAATACTTTCCATACATGTTTTCTAGAACTGCTTTTAATAACTAAATAACTGAGGCGCTGGGCTTTTCCTTGAAATGCTCCAAAAGGCATTTGCACGTGTAAGGTAAGTTCTTTTGAGCGCTCCATGTAGGACAGAAGTTGACCATCACTTGTCAGGAAAACATTTATGCCACAAACTGCATTCCTGGGGGGTTTACCTGGAGCGATGACAGAAGCTGAGGACACAGAAGACATATGGCTGCAGAGGGTCAGGGATAATGGAAGCACGAAACAAAGACTAAACCCTCTTTTTTTTTTTTAAAAAAAAAAAAGTAGATGTATAATTTTGAAGACAGGTTCTTTAGTTAACTATTTACTTACATAAAGTTTACAAAAGTGATGAACGTTTCCCAAGCAGGCCTGTTTGCCAGTCTGCCCTTTCTGTGGTTCTTGTATTAAAAGATTATTCTTCATCCATCCAGAAAGGTTGGCTACTGTTTGCTTAATTATAAATTCTGATTTCATTTAGCTGTGAAGAAGTTGAGCCTCTCATCGTTAAACATACACATGTATAACAATGCAAAAGAAAGCAGATTAAAGGCATTTGGAGCAAAAAGTAAGTTCTGGATTGTTCCAGAAAAGGAACATTCAACTAGCTGTAAAACTGCTCAAGACACCTGTCTGGGAAGCAAACATGGACCCAGGAATGACGCTGGCACTGCACGGTCTGATGTCAGGGACCCACTGCGTGACTGTTCGATACGGGTGGCTGCAGAACAGAGCTCGCCGCTGGGGAGCAGCCCCAGTACCGGAGCAGTGTCAGAGCTGTGCTGGCCCAGTGACCAAGTGACAGAGGCTGCAGGTCAAAGAAAAAGTACTGGTCTGGTACTGGCACTGAGCAGGAAGTTCTGGAGGGGCACACACCCCGCACCGCACACCCCCCCCGCACACACGACCTGTTGCTGCCAGACAGCAGCAGATCCCGGACAAGCATTTGTCCTTGGCTGCGGCAAACAGCGTTTATCTCATCTGCCTGCAGGTCCCTAATGAACAGGTCAAGACAAACAACGAGGGGAGCACAACCTCCTTGTTTCAGCAGAAGAGTAACTTTATGTAACTGTTGGGATCAGTGGGAAAAATGAGCGGAATTACAGGAATCCCAATGGTGTGTTTTGTTTTTTTTTTTTAAATAAGACTTCCTAGAACCTGTCCAATGTGAAAGGTCTTCGCTGCTTCAACCCGTCTAGAAAGTACTCCTTACGTCTGGTTTGGATTTTGCTATTCGGAATGTCTGTCAGATCCACCACCATCACACCCCACCGGATGCAGGAGGATGCCCTCATGGGTTGGCTGGTTTTTCTCTTTACCCAATACTGGAATTGACTCTTCCTACTTACACGAGACGAGCACACGTATTTGCAGGAGCAGCTGGTGAGTGCTGTGCACCGCACCACAGCCTGCTTGCCTTAATTTGCAGGCAAGTCTTTGCTGCCCTGACACCAGGTCACTGACCATTTCTAAATGGTCCACCAAGAAAAATAAAGTCTAGAAGCCGGACTCAGAGGTACAAATGAATGGTCACTGATAATCCAGCTTGGAAACAGAATACATTTCACAGCCAACATTTTTTTTTAAATAAATGCACATCAATAAATTAATTAAATTTCTATATTAACCTTCTATGAGTTTCCCTACTTCGCTTGTGAGAAGCATGCAGGAGGAAAGTTTACTCATGTCTAGGCACCAACAGAGCAGCTTAACCACAAAAAAATTAGAAAATTCTATTAGAGAAATCTGTTGTTTAAAAATAAGAATTCTGCCCATACATCTTACAAAATCCTATCACATATATTAGTACAGATACATGAGAATAAAAACAGCAAAAAGGTTTCAAAACATGCTTGATATAAAGCACGATGGTCAACTTCATTCTCAGGAGGCTCTTGCTCAGGCACAGCACTCTGACTTCAAATGAGTCAGCAGGTGCAACCACAACTATTTACCAAACAGGAACGGATGAGTGGCTTTGTCAACTCGAATAGTTTTAGGCTTTTATGCTAATGTGGAATCCTTTAGTCTGTTCAAACCAACAACAAACCCAAGCCATGAACTTCCACTGTGGTTTCTCATGACACTGTATTTAAAACAGCTGCATATTTTGTTAAAAACATCTAGAAAGTTTCTAAATATTTAAGAAACTGTACATACACTACCAGAGTGTGTGTGTGTATATATACACACCATGTATATATAATACATGGCAGTATATTTACTACCATGTATTACCAGTCTGTTCTTTCCAGAGGCAAAGCTGGTGCCAGTTCCTGCTGTAACTCACGCTTTTATACCCTTGCATAAAAGCCATCACCATACCTTATCATCTTACTACAGCGCAGCACTACCCGTATCTCCAAAGTAAACAAGATTAGTTCTTCAGTCTTACTCTGTTACAGACTCGGCAATTAAAAGAATGAAATACATCGGTTTCAGCTCAGGTGTACAGAACATAAAAGTGTGAATTTCAGTTTACAGTAAGGACAGGATATTCGTACTTGCCTCAAAAATCAGAAGTATCCTGGTATCTCTGAGATAGCGTTCATAGGGGTAATCTTTCATGTAGCCAAGGCCCCCAAGAATCTGCAGTGCTTCACTTACACAAGCCCATGCACCTTCAGAACTGAACACCTGCCGGTGAAGAGCATTTTCATCACCACGGTACGCACTGATACAGAACACACTGCTCCATTATTACATCTACATGACATTGCCGTAACATTTTGCACTGCTGTTACAATAGTCCTGTTTAACGCTCGCCTGAAATATGGCTCTGGGTGCATAATAGTTTCCTTGCAACCCACAAAAACGTCTCCATGAGGAAATGTTCCTGGGAGAGTCAGAGGCACGAACGGGAAGGACAGCTGTGGCCAGCTGGCTGCAGCACTTCACATCCGCCCAGGTTCACGGGAACACGAGTTCTTTTGAACCGAGCACGCCGTGAAGGACTGCCACCGAGGGCTGAAAATCTGCAAGTTCTCCTCAAGGGTGCCTGGCACCCAGTGGCACCCATCAGCATCCATCGGCAGCCAGTGGCACCAAACCTACTGTATGCAGTTTTTATTTGGTATGGTGACAAACACCTGAATCTGAGGCAATCAATAGCACGTGGGAAATAAAAGAAAACAGTAATGACTATTTTTTCAGTCAAGCTGAAGTTTTTGTATCGTATATCTAAGTGCAACGCCTGAGCCTCTCAGCAATCAGCAATGTAGACTGAAAAACAGGAGGGGTGTTAGTCTGTATTAGCTTAAAGCCACAGGCAAGTCTTGCAATGAAATGAATTACCTTGACCATGGCTGCCTCCACGGAGCAGTCTGGAAATCCCGGCCTGTCCATCATTCCTGCAGTGAGGTAAGCCATACTCTCCATTACATATGCTTTCACAGCCATAAAACAAAATTTCTCCTGTCAAACAGTAATGCGAGGAATCACACAGTAATTCAGATGCAAAATCCCAGTCAAGCCTGAAACTTAAGAGCACAACTGCAGTTTTCATATGTTTTAACATATTATCAAATACTCAGGAATAAAAGTACTAGTGCAAAACATTCATGAAAACAAAAATCTTGGTTTATCATTGTAAACATTTAAAATGTGTACAGAAATCTGCACGAAGTTCACACAAATTTAACACCTCTAGCAAGTTCTTTAAACGAGTACAGCCAAAAGAACCCCAACATAATCTATGCCCTTGCACTTAGTCAACACAAAGCGCAGAGATTTAGGTTTTTCATTTTTTATTACCTGAATTAATCCAAACTCGCTCAGTTTCTTATTGAATTGCTTCCTGGTACAAGCATACTCTGCTGTCATTTCTTTAAAAGAAAGAAAACAAAACCATCCATCTCAAAAAGCAGAACTGTGACAGACCATCCCTGCTGATATTATCCGAGTCTGACATTTCAACCTATACCCAGTAAACCCCAGTAGACACCAATTTTATTACCTATTACTGTGTGTAAGCAATAGCATATAGGTTATTTTCTCATTAGGAATATTTTACCTCAGAAAAATTCAGAGGCAATAACTTTCCACTATTCGAACTGAAAATCATCAGTGTTTTACAGGCTTTTATTAAAACGTTTAAAAACTGTTTTAGTGTTTTAAAGAAGTCAAAGCGTGTAATGACTGACAATACAGCGATGTGGCGATCAACGCTCGCATTACTATTTTGCATTAACTGCATTACGTATTTTACGCAGATCAGGGTTTTTCGCGTGGCATCCAGCAATCCAGAACACCAATTCACCCACCTATCAATTTTTTAATCATTCCAGCAGAACTACTGCCCATGCTAAATCTTCCACTGTTTAGGATATTCACGGCAATCTGCAAAGAGAATGAATAGGTTTTAAGCACGGATGTTGCTGCCACAAAGCTTCTCCTCAGGCCACGACGGTTACTGCTATCTCGCTTCCCGTTCCAGTGCTTTTCCGGATTTCCTTCATCACTGGGATACACCTCCTATCTTGTGACACTTGCCCTCAGATCGGTCAGTACAGCGTTCAGCATCCCAACAATAACGCTTCAAAACCAGGCTTTTAAGGTGACCTACAACATCCAATTTCATGTTTGATAGAGTTTTCAGATCCTGACAATCCAGTGACCTGGAAGTAATCCTCTATCGAAACTACGTTAGGGTGAAATGTAGATAAGGATGTATTTATCTGCAACTAGACAAACAACAGTCAAACTAGACAGCACTGGTTTGAAGTGAAGTTTATCAAACAGATGAAGAAGAAAAACAGAATATTGTTTAATGTGTGTACACAACAGCCAAATGCAAAAACCTTTTCTGCAGCTGACCTGTGGTGGATGCTTTCCTGCTTCAGATTCCTTTCAGCAACATAGAGCAAAAGGGAGTAGGAATGAAAGGTGTAGAAATGAAATACAGATCAACAATGTACAAAAACAGATTCTGAAGTCTAGTATTACAGTTTCTTAACAAGAGAAACACGTGTGACTCAGTTCAAAGACTGTTAAGAAATTTAGCAAGAAGTCACTGTTCCTACATTTGAATTTGTGATAATTATCTGAAGAAGAAACCATAAAAATCATCTTTTGTTATGTTTACTACATTAAAGAAAATTGTTTCACTTGGCATTTAGGTCTGGACTTGCCTGCTACGGAAGGACTGAGAAAACTGAGAAGGATCTTTAAGAACAGTTTTGCAAATCCACACGTCAGACTCTCAGAGAAAGGTAACTACAGCAAAGTGATCGGCATTATCTTTGCTGGCACCACACTTCTCTGACGCAACGAGATGCCAGAGGCAGCCTGTCCACTGCTGTAATCTAAGCCTGGAAAACCATCTGACAACCATGGCACCTTGGATAGGATCCGGACTTTCCTGTTACACTCATGGCTTTCTCTCCCTTTCAACACACTGCGCAATTCTGGCTGTAGAAAACAGCAGAAGACATTTCCCTGATTCAATGCAGAAGCTCTGCAGAAAAAATTGCTCCCTTTTCTGAAGAGAACAGTGTGCCGTGAAAAGCATTAAAGAGCCAAACGAACAGCGGGACCAGTCTATAACCGTATTGAGAAGAACACGTAGAACTCCGAGATTATGGCAGGCTCGTGCACCGTGCCAGTGAAACAATTAACACAAAGCATGTAAGGAAAATGGAGAAGTCCGTCCTCCAGTACTCTTCAGTCTGGCAATGTGCACGCTACCAGTAAGGAAACTTCGGTAGAAGTGGAAAAAAAAAACCAAAAAAGTCTCCTTCAGGCTTTAAAAAATCATCAGTAGTTATTCTTGACAGCTTACCTTAAATCCCCCTCCTACTTCTCCAATTACGTTCTCTATAGGCACTTTTGTGTTTTCAAAATGCACTTCACAGGCTGAAACACAGAGTTAATAGCTGCTGAATTATTATGTAGAAATATTTAAAAGACATTCAGGAACATAATTGACTCTCTTTGTAACAAGAAGTCAAGCCTTCCTAATGCACCTATTATGACAGAATTACATATGCTTTGCCAAAGACGTTAGAATTTGGGAAAAGACTGTAGTGGACATCAATTGCTGATGTAAAATGTTCAAAATATAGCTAATGTATATTGTGTAAACAGAGAACTATAGCTTGCCTCTATTTTAAGGAACGGATACAGCAGTCAAGTCCAAATGACAGACGGTGAAAAACTATCACCATCTGTAAGCTTAAGAGGAGCCTATGAAAACTTACTTCTAAATTAAAGCTACTTGGTTACTGACCCTTCTGAGAAAGTTCTTTCACTGCATACTTAGGGAAGCTTCAAATGTGCAGAAAAGAATTGTACAACATGGATTTCTTATTTCAGACCCTGTGTTAGGAAGGACTCATAAGAAAAGCTAGGTAAAGAAACAGGAAACTTATACTGCTATATGGAATAGATACTGACTTGCCTCTGAATTCAGATGATCTAAACAAAACATTAAAACAGTAAAACAATTTCAGTTCACAATTTTAAGTGATTCTTACTATTGGATCCTCGAATGCCTAACTTATCCTCAGGTTTCCCATTGGTGACTCCACCAAAATCCCGCTCTACGATGAAAGCAGTAATTTTGTCTTTCACTTGTCCATCTTTATCAACAACCTCTGTCCTGGCAAACACTGTGAAAATATCAGCAAGGCCACCGTTTGATATCCACACCTGTTTTGAGAGAAGAAAGATGTGTAAGAAATGTATTTGTTCTCCATTTTGTGAGCACTGTCTTGTGCAAAGAAGGGCTGCTTCTTCCCTTAAAATGTTAATGAATGTTCTGCTACTGGTTTTGCCTCTTGTGAACACACTTCCAAGGAAAGTTGACCACACAATGGTAAGTTTAGAGCAACTACGAAAATAAGTTGTAATATCGATTTGAATTAAATGAAAACCCGTGGTGTGTTTTCACAAGAGCTTGTCTATCCTGCCGCTTACGGCACGTGAGGGGTACACGGGTAACAGACTACAGACCCACTTTACCCAAAATAATTTCAACGCTAATAAAGCCTCCGAATCAGGCCACGTACGGACGGCCTCCCCCAGAGGTTGTCTCTTCACATCACAGACAAATATTTCAACATTACAGATCAGGTCTGCAATGTGGCACATATCGTTGAATCCAGAACATCTCTACGTTTCTGCTGGATTGCATTCTGTCATTGTCTCTTTCAGCAGAAACGTTCCGAGCTGCCCTACTTCTGATCCACTGCCAAGTTTTCTTTCAAAAATACTGACATATTATCTGGCATAAAGAACAAAAAGAGGCAGAAACATGGGTTTAGGTTTCTTTTTGCCTACGCTGTCACCGAGGAGGTGAAGTAACTAACCCTCCCTGAAGCTGAACACCGTGAGCTGGCGATACAGAGAGGGAACTTAGGAGTGGCTTTTCCTGTCTTTCTCACCAAGAGTTGAGTGACAGTGTGCTTTGCTATTCTCTGTGGCCCGAAACAACACAGGCTTTCTTTTTGACATGGTCATTCTTCATTAGCTTGGAAGCCTCAAAATTCTGATGCAGCTGCCAAGCCAGATTCTTATTAGCAAAACATTGCAATGCTGTGGAAGACAGAGACGCTTTCTATAAACCTGTAACGAAAACCTGTTTGCAGTCTGTGAGTGGATACCTTGGAGCCATTTAACAAGAAGTATTTCCCATCTTCGCTGAGGGTTGCTCTTGTCTGGATGGACGCAGCATCACTTCCACTAAAAGCCAAACAAGTTATTAATGTTTAAAGAAATAAACACACTTAAAGTGTAACAAAGTAAACAAAACTACATCTTTCCCCTCTTCCCATAGTTTAAAAAGGAATGTTTACAGTTGCATTAAACAATAGTATATAAATTTTAGTTCTTAACTAACAAGGAAACTAATAGATTCATCAGCGCTACAGAAATCTACTTCTACTTAAGTTACCTGAGGGGACATTTCTCCTGATTAACATATATGTTATTGTTGTGGTCTTCTAACCTGACCAGAATGTTCAGAATACCACGTAAGCAACATTTTTGAGCTACGTGCTGAGCTACGTGAACAAACAACGAATATGTCATCCTACAACACAATCAAGTTTAAAATGTTTAAGTTGTTCCTCAAAAATTCGTACCCTGATTTTATCTCCTAAGTGGAAAAAGGCTCAACAGAAATGAAAAATAAATATGTGACAGTCTCTATCAATGAGTCTCTATCACTTGGGCACATCAAATACTTACTACAGGAGCAAAATCAGCAGATGAATTACAACGAAGCAATCAAAAGTTTACGTTCTGTGATTAAAAGTTCACGCCCTCTCTTGAATCACCACCTTATTTCATAATTTGGCAACAAGCACATAACCTCCGCCTTGAAAGAAGATTCCTCTTCCACAAATTACAAGGTTACAACAGCTCACTTCAGGCTTTCAGCTGAAGACAGAGGTTCTGTTCTTGGAATAGCAAGATCTCAGCTGGCATTTTAGCAGGGTTGGATTTCTAAAATTCACTTCTAAAAACGACTGCTTCTGTGCACTAGGACTAAGGTCTCTACAAAGACCGAAGTTAAAAGTTACTCAGACTAGCATCTTTTTAAATAATACCGGGCTAAATAAAGATGTCAGAAGAATTTCAGAGCACGGTTAGCCCTTGTTTTTTCCTCTGTATGCTACTTCCAAGTCCCTTCCATGTTGTTACATATTTGTGCTAGTTCAAATTTTACCTGTGAGCGGGAGAGCTTTGAGAGGGTCAAAACCCAGCTGAGGACTCTCCAATAGAAACCATCACTGATGGCTGGGAGGTATCTCCATCAGAGGAACATGCAAATTAGCAAGTAAACCAAATGCTCATTGCAAGTCATTCTAGCAGACAAGAACTCAGAAGAGGCAGTTTGAAACTATAGTTTTGTACGGGCAAGCAAGATTCAACGTCAAACATTCAACTGGTCTCAGTCCTTCGACCAGTTTCCTTCACAGTCACGTAGTAAACGATCTGCCTGTACGTTTTTAAGAAAAATGTACCTCTTCTGCATTAACAACATTTGCAGCATTAGCAGTAGTCAACAAATAATTGTAATAAATACCACTTTATATTTGAAATGAAGTTGCTGCTACAAAGGTGCCTTTTCTAAACTCTAAGGAAAGACCAAAATTTCTTCCTATTATTTTTGGTAGCTTCTTCAATACAAGCTTTTATGACTTTGCAAGAGAACTGAAAGCATCTAGAACAGTCACAGTGCATTATTTCTAACGCAGCACACAGTATCCTTTCAATTCATATTCAGCAATGCCAGAAATTAAGTGGATGAATTCCTGGGGTGTGAACAACAACAGTCCGTGATTTCATGGAAACTGCCATCAGCAGCACATGTTGGGGAAAGATGAATTACATGATTTGAAGTGTACCTTTTTAAAATTAGAAATAAAAATAAAAATAACCTGTATCATGAAGCCAGAGCCACCAAATAGTAAAGATTTAACATATTAACCAAACAATCACTGTAATGAAGATGAGAATAATAAAAAAGTCATTTTTTGGTGCTTTCAGAAGCTTTTACGATTACAAAACCAGTACCTTCCGGGTTCAGTGAGACAAAAGGCTGCAATGTGCTCCCCAGATGCCAGTCTAGGCAGGTACTTTGCCTTCTGTTCGTCAGTGCCAGCAATGAGGATTCCCTAAATAAAGAATCAGTAGAAAACTTTTCAGCATCAACCCGTGTATAAAGAAATAAAGCTGACGAAGCTTCGCCAAGTTCAGGAAGCTTAATTTGCAAATTTGACGGCATAACAAGAGACAGTTTAATAAGCAATAGACATTATTATTTATCAGACATTAAAATATGTCCGTTACCATCACACAGTTGTTCAAAAGCCCATAGGAAATGGCTGTGTTCAGACTGCCTTCTGGCATAGGTTTCACTGTATTTATGCTGAAGTGAACACTGAATTGTTGCTCTGAAGGCACTGAGATAGCGCTTCCTTTATAATTTGTCATACCTTCATTATAGCCACTATAATTTTATTTTAATAACCAAAAAGCAGCAATTTTCAAAGCTCCTAAACAGCGCTCAACAACTTTTTGTGAGAGTGCACTTATTTTAATTATCTCTGTTGTATTTACCTTTTTAATAGCAGGTTTCTTATGGAGGACAAAGAGAATACAAAAATACATGATAAAGCTCAATAATCAATGGTTAAATAGCTAAGATACAGTTACGCAACAAAACTAGGATTAACCCTAACTGACCCAAACTGGCCACAGCAGGAGAGTCACAGTACACACTACGCTTCTCATCAATCTGCTTTACAAATTCTGTTCTACAGATGGTGATATTTTAAGTGAGGTGAGCAATAAATACATATTTCTAATTAGCATTGTCTGCTCAATACCATGAAGAACTTTTTCTTTTTATAATGAACTTACTGCTGTTTCAAGCTTCAGACTACTACCATCCAATCACCATAAAATGCACTAAAAGGTAGATACTTCAGGCTATATTAAACAGAAAACGAGTTTAAAATCCACGTGCTTGCTATCACACATTGATCTTAGCTAAGTTTTCTTCTCTAAGCTTCCCCAATATGCAGCCCCATTCAGCTAGAAAAAGCTGGACCCTTCTGAGTTCTCTGCATGGCTGTCTCACCTCCCCATAATTTTATTTATAAAATATTTTATTTATGTCAGTATATTTTATTTTATTATGATATTTTATTTATGTCAGTATTTATTCCAGCTACTTTTATCAAGTTTGCTTAATTTAAAAAGCTTGAGATCGTTTAAGGTATTTTTTCCATGAATTATTATTTCAATATTTCCTGGACTAGTAATTTTCTTGCATACTTCATATTCAGTCTTTATGCTCCATGGAAGTCTTACACTGAGCCAGTGGCAGAAGGTGCTGGAAACACCACCAACCAACCTGACATCAGAACGTTCCACCTGATCCGTGCTTCACCGGTAATTCTTGTTTGTCACACTCCCACTCCACATTCGGACACACCTCACCTCGCCCCTTCCACGCAAGCTGTGCGGAACCACTGGGCACAAAGGAAGAGCAATAGCTTGGTGAGCTCCCAGGGTAACTGCGATGGATCCATCTAAGGAAGTGATTTCTCCCAGCCGTGCATACATGGTATTTGACAGCCCAAGACCACCTGGAACAAACACTACCTTTCAGTCTAAGTAGGTGCCTCACAATTTAACTTGCTCCTTCCCCCCCAAAAATCCCTTTCAAGTACAGAAACATCAAGAATACAACATCGTGAACTGAGGAGTGTATAACTGTGTATAACATGTCCACAAATGAGCACCATGTTGCTGCAGCTGTGCCAGAAGAACCCATTTTGAACAGAGCAACATTTTTAATAGGTGTGAGCCATGCTGCCTTGAGTTCCCTTCAGAAAGCAGATGTGCTTGTGTTCAACACGCACGCGCCCAGAGCAAATTCCGCATGATCCACCAGCTGCTAGAAAACAAGCTTGTTTAAAACGCTCTGCACGTGAAAACGGTGAAAGATTCGGTACAAAAATTGCTCTGAGTTCCTGTGATAAAATAGGATAAAATGAATTATTTTGGTGACATTTCCACGCCACCTTACGCAGCCAGACAATTCAGCCGTGTACAGCTTCCCAGCTGCAGAGGGAGCAGCAGCGGGAGCAGAGGCTGCGGACAGGGCTGGGGGGTACGGACAGGGCCGGGGGGTACGGACAGGGCTCGGGGGTACGGACACGTAGGGCCAGCCAGGCTGGCCCAGCTGCACTGCAAACTGGGCAGAACATGACCCAGACAACACAGCTGCCACAAAATAGCTTCCCATTCCTTCTTCCAAACTGGTACTGAAGGAGGTTAATATATAACCCTTCAAAAATGTATTTAATAAAAAAAATACATGTATCAAGAAACAAACTTGACACTAGCAGATCCTTTTTGGAGGAATTTTGTGATCTGCTGATGCAAATACGGAGACTACTTGCAAGGAGTCTGGAAAGAACACAAGTAGGATAAATCAAAGCCGCATCTGTATGAGTCTAACGTTCAAGAATTTTACATCGTCAAGACTAGAAGTCCTGCTCCCCATAACTTAAGAGTATTTTATTATTATTGCTGATTAAATAACTTGATCTAATCAAGCTAATCTTTTGCCCAGGTTAATAGTTTCTACTTGGGACAGTGGTGTAAGTCAGGATCATGAATGCCTCATTTCAGCAGTTGTCTCAATAGTCCCACTATCTCATGTAGACCGAATAAATGCAAGAACCAGTCTCTCCAATACCAGCAATTCATACCACTGCCTCTTACACCCTTTTCCTTCAGAGTATGTTAAATAAATTAAAACTCTCACTCCTCCTATATACTCTTACTTCTTTCCCCTCTCTAAGAGGTGCTGGGTTCAGGATTCAGGTTGGAGACTACTGATGACGTGCACAGTAATTCCAGTGATGCCCACGTTAAAGAGAGCCATTATTCCTGATTTACACGAGCTCCATTTCTCCCATTACTGTTCTATGTTTTCACGCTTGTGGCAAAGATGCCACTACGACAAACCATTATGAAAAACACCACGCAACCAGCGAAGCACTGACCATGTGTGACTGAAGAGTTCTAAAATGTAACAAGCACCACCACCAAAAATACAGCAGCTTTAAACTACAGAAAATGGGAAATAACCTCATTAGAAGCATATTCTTCATGGTGCATAAAAAAGTAACTTATTTATAGTAAGGTGAATCCTTTCCATCTTCTGGTTTTTATCCAGCATACGTGTTTACAAAACAGCAGCACTATGATGTCCTATAATTATGGTGAATGGATTGCAGCCTTTTACAAACTGGAAGCTGAGGTAGCAATATAAAATCATGGAATGGTTTAGGTTGGAAGGGACCTCAAAGACCATCCAGTTCCAACCCTGCTGCCCTGGGCAGGGACACCTGCCACTAAACCAGGTTGCTCAAAGCCTCATCCAACCTGGCCTTGCTTCAAAACAAAACAAGATCAAACCAAGAAGAACGTTTTATTAAGGTATGATTTCTTAGTCAAACACATTGCCTTCCAGACTCTTTAAAAAAATTAAGAGCAGGAAAAACTTATTTCTAGTTAATCAATAGTAAGTCACACTTCCAATGTCATAATGCTTCCTGGTACTCTGCTCTGAGTTCTGTCCTTAGTTCTCTGCTTCCGACACCTTCTTTCAGTGGACATTAACCCGTCTTCCTCCAATATATTTCTAAATTCCTAAATACTTCTCTCTCCCCTCATCTGGGTTACCGCGCTCTGTCCAGATCCTTCTCCTCCCAGACACTATCCCGAAAAGAAAAAACCTGAAAGTGCTTGCAAACCTCTTTTGTATCTTACTCTCACATCACCCTGTTTCATTCTGAATAGCCATGAAAAACATTTAACACCACTTCTGATGCATTTCTAAAGCATTAACTAACAATTAATCAGACATCACATCACGTTAAAGCACAGGAAAGTTGTCCAGTATACTTTAAAGAATTCGTATATAAATACTTTATTTAAAAAAAACAAGGATTGAAATCAGTCCAGCACAGCAACACTAGTTATGTTGTCTAATACAATAAACAAAAAATGCTACAAAAAATAGGTTATTACCTTAACACCAAGCAAATACTGAGGCATGGCTCCAGCTTTATACACTATTATTGTAATTACTGAAAAAATACACTGTTTCACGCTATTCTCTTCAAAAATTCTTCTCTTCCCCACTGAAACGATATTCTGCAGACAAAACAACAGTTTTGTCTTCCTCAGAGCTGTTCTCTTTAAAGTCTCTTTCTTTTATAAGAGCAAATAGAGAATGCAATGATCTCATTCCTTTATAAATTTCATGTAAAATATTAGTTTCTATCCCAATTTTTATTTTATGCATAAGAATAAGATCAACATTTTCTTGAAAATTCCTTTGCAAGTTCAAGGGTCAATCCACTGAGGAGCTAATGCCTCTGATCTCAGTTGGCACTATAATGTTCTTTAAGGTATAAACTTTTTGTTCAGTATTGCACAGGAAAGATTTTACACAAAAGCTGTACTTTTAACAAATACATGTTATATTTTCACACTTCTATATGGTCAAACACATTTCAGTCTGCCAATGACAGGTGACAGCTTTGACACATCAGTTCCACGAGACACTGTAGTTTGGACCCAGTATAATTTTAGGAACCACCAGCAAGAACAGCAAGTCCTGCAGAACGTCAAGCTACTCTACTGCACCCAAAAACAGAACAAAAAGGAAAACGGTTTGCCAAGAGGAATTTCCACCATCAAATTAGTTATCTAACTCAGGTGCCGAAGGTAAGAGTAGGCAGAGCTCCCCACATAGCCAACAGACACTCTTGGTGCCCAAATCTCTCTATTAACTAGGGAGGAAGTCTCACCTGCTAATTTAGACATCCAAGTCAAGTGATTACACACAGAATAGTATGGACACAAAGACCCAAAAATGCATTAATTTATATAGACTACTGGGTTATACTTTTCTGGTCATTTACTCACCATATTCCTCTGGAATCTGCATGCCAAAGAGACCCAAGTCCTTCAGTCCTTTTAAAGTTTCAGGTGGGATTTTTGCATCTCGATCAATCTTCCTAGAGTCCACTACAAATACAGAAGGTTTTATAGTTTAAAACTGTGTTTCTCAGTGCAGAAAAAGTCTCTGAGACTACAATGTTCTCAAACCCAGGCCAAGGCCACTGCGTGCTAGGAGTTAGCAGCAGTATGATCTTGAACCTAACCATCAGTCTGAGAGCCCAGCCCTGAAGAACTGAAATAACTTATGGAAAAAGAGCTGCTGGAGCATCACATCCCTCCCTGCTGTAATTCTCCCCTAGTCTTCTCAAGCATCTTTAGAAAAGACTTAGTGCTTGTTGCACCTGATACAGACATGCTTCTCATCTCTGACTTAACAAGAATTACTCTTTTTAGCTTCAGCCTGATGTTAGACTGTCCTGTTTCCCTCCTCCCCTTGGGGGTGGAAAACCTTCAAACCCCAAACTGGCATCTGTCAGGCTACCAGTACAGTGTGTTGTGGCTGGGGGCTGTGTGCCGCAGCCTGCCACCCCGTGCTCCTCCCTGCAACGTGAAAAACGATGACTTTTAGCCTCTGGATGACAATCACACAGACAAGTGCTCAACACTACAGTGGCTCCGCTTCAGAGGCCCACCTTATTACACCATCCAAGTCAAAATACACAATCAACTGGAAGGTCCCACAAATACTGACTTATGGCTGTAAAGTCACAACATATACAGGAAAAGGACTTGGAAGTGGGAAAAATCCGGTTTTATTTCATTTTCTCAAACATTTCTATGTGTACATGTTGTGCATGTGCATGTTAGCAGATTCCATGACCGGAATAAGTGAAGTATTTCCAGGATTTTCTATCTGAACTATGTCTAGGTCATGACTGAAGAAAAAAAAAAAAAGTACATAAATGAGTTAATTGCAAGAATCGTGTTCTTGTGAGTTGTTCAAATTCTTGGGGGATTAAAGGAGCTGCTCTGTACCGTGACAGTGCAAATAAACATGGACCGTACTAAGGAGCTGAGGAAGGCTGGGAGCTGCAGCACAAGGAACACAAGCCACCGCTCCAAAAAGCACACAGGAGGTAACCCTGCAAAAGCAACAGAGCTTGCCCAAAGACACCTCACATGCACCCCAGCTAAACGGCGCTGTAACTTCTGCAGGGAACGTAACAGGGGGAGGCAACCAAACATTCTGATGCACTTCTAAGAGAAGTTATTCAGAAAGAAAGCTCATTTAAAAAAAAGATTTTTTGCTCCCCATACTAATTTTTTAGCTACATAGTATCAGACACATATTTGAGATACATGGGCTGTTCTAGGGAGAGAAAGGTGGTGGTTTTTTTACCTCTTCCTCCATCGTGCCCATACAGACCTATCCGTGGGGTCTGGCCACTGTCAAGCTTCATAATGACTCTGCTGAGATGAATTTCCTTACCCAGTGCCAATCACATCAAGTTTGCAACTGTTTAAGGCTGCTCTCCCAACCTACTTTTACCACACCCGTGAACTACTCTGAATAACTAAACAGAAATACTTTTGAATTCAAACAAAGATGAGCAACTTCCACCTTCGGTTAAATCTCTTTGACGTTTTTATTCCTCCCTTAAATATCAGCTTTTTAACTCAATAAATGATGGTCCCCAACATAGCAAAGAAGTAAAAAATGTGATCTACATAAATTCTTGATTTGTTGTCAGTGCGCAACATTACAATTCTATAGTTAAAATTACCTGGATCTCATAAATTGTGATCTGTGACAATCACAGGCCTCTTCAAATTCCTGCAGTGTTTGGCAATCCAGACCTAGTATCTTCAGAAAATCTGAGATGATACTGCGTAACTGTCTCAGAAACCTGCTGTCTGTAAAAACCAATTTTCTACAATCGTTCTAGAATTGGCTTGTCTATTGCCCCAGTAACAGAAGGAACACCCCGCAGCCCTATCTGGAATGCATATGGCTAATTAGGCTTTTCCCAAATAGAATCACTACTCTAATGCTGAAAAAAAAAAAGCTTTTGATTTTTCACAGCTTCTCAATGAGTCACCATTTATTAATATCTCTGCTGAACTTTGCTTAAAACAGTTTTAGTACAGTAGGATAAGTTAAGTTAATAAGTTTCAGAAAAAATTCACATTGTATATGAAGTGGTAAACAGCATTATTCAACCAAGCTACAACCAATTTCAAATCCTACCTCTATCTCAGAACTCTTTTACTTCCTTTTCTTTTTTTTTTTTGTTTGTTTGGACGATTTATGTCTTCTCATCAGCATCCAAATGCTCCGTATAAAAAAACCATAAATGAACATGCCTATAGAACCAGCAGCACTACATGACTCGCAATAAATCCACAAAATAACTTAAACATTTTAAGTATAATAATCTTATTCAACTGCTAATCTTACTCATTTTGTAATCGCTACATCCCTTGCATGAATAAGAAACTAGTAACTATACCTTCTTCTCTGAAGAATTTTTCTACAGGTCCTACAAACTGGTTGATCTCCTCTAGTTCTTCATTGGTAATTTCTGGATACGGGAAAACATCCTCCTAAAATAAGAGGCAAACTTTTATTTATTTTATTTTATTTATTTTAAAGCATGAATCATGCAATTGAAATAAAAATTGAAGAACATATGCCTTTCAAATCTTAGACTCTAAAAAACTGTGAAAATTAAGAATCATGGGAAATGTTCAGAAACAGCCTTATCTGATGAGATCCACAGGACTCAACTTCACTACACACCAAAAACAAATCAGAGGGTATTACCTGAAAACCAGAAACATTAGGGAGAAACGAAGAGATTTTTAAGAACTATGAGGATGCAAAAATCCTTCATCAACCACGACTTTGTCAACATAATCCCACCTTGGGATTAAAAATGTTAACTTTAATTTGTATCAGAATCAGTTTACTGTCATAAAGTTTTCAAAACTCAGCCCATGGAATCATGTCCCTTGGAAACACACAGCACATTAAACCTGTTTAATGTCACGAGTACAAAGCTTAGTGGGTTCCACACTGCTCCTTACCATCATCCCAGTATTTTGGTCATAAACTGGAAGCAGTATGACCTGACAGCCTTGAATAAATACAGAAATCCAACAACTAACACAGGAAGTGAACGACTATGAGGAGCGTGTTTATAATTTTTATCATCTTTCCCCTTCTAAATAGAAGAGTGGACCTCTGTCCAAACAAAACTGGTCATGATAAGTCTGAAGAACCATGACAGCTCCAAAAATTCAGGATCTAGTAAATGCGACAGTTTTTCAGAAAACTGTTGTATTGAAATTTGAGAGAAAAAAGAAAAGGCTTATATGAACAGGGGTTTAATGAGATGGAGTCTGACTATTAATTGTCATAATGCTTTACTTGATAAGGTCTATTTTGGAAGACTTTATTGTTCAACACATTTCAGGGGATTTGAGTTATTCCTTCTTTCGGTTGATTTAACTTTGCAATCTTTGATACATTAATACTCCAAACCTTGGATTAACAAGTACTGTTCTAATACAGTGTTGCATCTCAAATTTGTAACTTCTCAGTCCAGTGGCATCTCAAGACACAACAGGAACTCCAGCCCACGCTTTGCCTTGCTCCTTGAGCTCGGCAGAGCACAAGCTGCCCGAAGCTTCATGCCCGCAGCCCAACACGGGCCCGTGTTTCCGCAGGGATCTGCCAGGCTGGCACGAGCAGGCGGCCGCGGTTTCAGCAGCCCTTCAGACGCTGGTTGTTCTCGAGCATTTCGAGATCATTACATCATCATTACATCACCATTACATCACGCGGTAGCGCGCACAGGTGAGAACAGCTCGATTTATCCCACCGAGCTCCGGCGGAGAGGCCAGCCGGAACACCTGACACGGGACGGGCCCGGGCTGCAACGCGGGCGGCAGCTGCGGCCAGAACCGCGTTCCCGCGCTCGCTGCAGCCGGCGCGGCTCGGAGCAGGCTCGGAGCCCCGCTCGGCCG